TCTGAACGGATGCTAAATCTGGCATAGCTTCAGTGTGGCTTCTCAAAAGCACTGAGCAGCTGCATTGAGACGTGCTCAGCACCACTCACTGACAGACTTGGGGGCAGGGGGTACATAGAGCTGAGGACAACTCTCACCCTGCCTAAGTTTAGATGTGGAAATGCAGTGCCTGGGGTAGGCTCATGATTCAGAAGGGAGCTGCTTATGTACCCATGAGACAGTCAGTCTCCTCCACAGCGTGATGCAGAGAAACCTCTGAATCTCACAGCAGCTCTAAAGGTGGCCATTTCTATTAGTTGTAAAGAAGTCGAAAAGGAACACTCATTCTACAAATAACTTTCCATAAAGAATTTCAGATATAAAGCCGTGAAGGAACTTTAACTGCAGTGTTTTCATGAGACACTAACACCCAGCTGTTACAGTGCCTCACACAGGTTTTACCCACTGTCTTACAAAAGCGGTGTTACTGAACTGTCTGAATTGCTCAAAACTCCCTGTACAATTATGACCATTTTTTGTCTAAGAGCAGGTTTATTTGTCCATTAATGCAAGTGCAGCCAAACAGGATTCTCTGGAAAACTGTACTCCAGATGTTTATTTTATAAATAAATAAAAATCCCTTCCTTCTCTGCCACTCTCCAAAAGAGCTTGCAGTATCTGTTCTACTTTGATGAAAAATCTGAGTAGAAATTTAAATTCTGCTCTAGCAAATAAAGTCTGCATCTTCTTTCATTCTGTCCTGCTCAGAGTTGCTAAGTTCTGCCTGTCATGGTTCTATTTTTTTTGTTTGTTTTTTGGTTTTTTTGCGGGGGGGGTTCAGTATTCCACATCAAAACATCATGTAGTGTGCGGGGCATTAAAGTGTTAATGCCCTAATTCCAGGTACCTATCCCTGTACATTACAAAATAGTACAAAATAGAACCATGACACTGCCATTAAGAAGCGTTTAGACAGAATCATGTAGAACATGTATGTAATCTTTCTTTATTAATTGGTTTCAGAAAGTCTGATATAATTACTGGTTAAACAATATTTTCAGTATTTACAAGTATTTTTGGACAAGCCTCATGGTGAAATTGCTCTAAGGCAGAGTAATTGAAATACTGGGTAAAAGAGGAAAAGCTGTGGGTTTTTCCTAGATGTATCTTTTTTAATGTCTCCTACAAACACACAACTGCACACAGGTAGCTGAGTTGCTTATTGAACCCTGGTACTGAGTGTTGCCTTTACTTTCTGGATGTTTGCGCTGCTCTGCATTGCACTATCGCTATTCTTCAATGTAGGACTAATTCACTGCAGCTAATGGAGCTGACATATGGCTTTGCTCTTTGTCTAACCTTTATAGGTCCATTTCACATCAGCACTTCATGGACTGGCATATGCAAAACTGCACTTTCTTAGCTCCAAGTTCATTTCCTTATCAGAATATATGGCGCTGCATTATGCCGTATGTTCATGATTTGAAGCACTGACTGATAACACAGGCACAGTCAAACAAAATGGTATGGGGAATAGCAAGCAATTCACTTGTTTTGGGGGAAGAATATGACATCAGAAATACAGCCATAGCCCAGCTAGATTTGATTGGATGTAGGCAATTAGCCAAAATTATAAAACCGTTAAGATATTTTTTTCCTGATAACTACCCATATTTAAGTATTATTTGTTTATTTTTTTTTCTGGTATCTTGGTGTAACTTGGAACACATTTGACATTATTTTCCAGTGTGCATTTACTGCATTGTTGGATGTAAAATTTCTCCTTTCTGGTTACACTATCCTCATAATTTGCAATAAGAGAAGCAATATTTTTAATGAGTACTCATGTCATTAACCATAGAAGTGTTTACTGAAATGATTTCTAGCAATGTCTGTTAGGGTTGGAGTTTGAACCTTTTCAGTCTGCAGTCAGAAATATTTGTTTGCTTAATAACTGATTCAGGGAAAAAATCCATTTTTTGGATTTAGAGATGTGCCTTTCTGAAACTCTGATACAGTGGGAGCTTTGGACACAGACTTTGTGAAAAAAAAAAAGGATGTGATCAAACACAACAGTTTCAGGTTGTGTAGATATTCTGTGTAACTGCATGAGTGCTGTTGCATAATTAGAAGCTGAAAGTTTTTCCTCTAAGTTTTGAATTTTCAGAACTGGAGTAACTGACTTGCCTTGTATTTGTAACATCTGAAAACCTGCGAAGGTAGCAGTTGGTTTGCTTTTGCAGGAAGCATTTAAAATACAGCACTACTGTGATATACAAGGATGTAAGCATGGCTGTCACTCTGGCAGGGTGCGATCTGTGCACAAGATATGTATTAGTTCATAAGCAGTGTACAGATGCTTTTTTATAAAGAGATTACATTCACTCCTAAATTCTAATACTAACAAAATTCCAAAGCCAGTAACATGTTCTTTACACTGAAGGTGCTTATGATTGTCTTCAAATGACTTTAGGAGAAGTAAGAGGACACATTTTCCAACACCTCATTTTCTGAGGTTAGGTTTACATCAGTCTGAACAGAAATTCTGCTTTGGTAACTCAGAACAACTAATGCTGGAAAGCTTAAATGCAACATGACTTTTAAAAATCATGCCATATTTTTGAGAGAAAACCCATTGTTTAGTGTGGAAATTAGTTAATATGGCTTGAATGTAGACTTTAAATTTATTTCATTTATGCTGCTTTGGAAATGTATTTTCTGCACACATTTACTTCAAAAAGATTTTTGCTGTGGAAGCGTAAGCTACTGAAAGCACAGAAAGTATTTTTATTTTGACAACATAGGAAGCATTTGATGAAGCACGATTTGCTCTGCAAGCTGTAGTTAAGCAAGACCCTGGGAACAAACCCAAGGTGAGAATGACTGGTAATGCTTTCAGAAGCCAAAACTCATTCCTCTCCATGCAGAGAAACATTGCCCCAGCACAATGTCCTCACATAATGGTCTTTGGTGGAGATAGCTGCACCTCTTTGGGCATCAGCACAGAGCTCAGTGCGGGCCAGCAAGCATCATCCTCAGAAGAGCAACTCTACTGCTTCCATATATGATTGATAGTACGTTAAAGGTTTTTTTCTTACTTTGTTGAAATGTGTGTGGTGGGGAAAAAAGGACACGTGTAACTGTTGAGGCTCTGATGCAAGAAAACGAAGATGTGAATACGACTCCATGACTGATTCTTCTGTACTATTTCATTGTAGTGCTTGTGACACATCTGTATGTGAAACATGCAGAATTTTGACTTTTTGGCACGCATCAGTAAGCACTGGTGCTGCTGCTGTCAAGCAGCAGTCCTCACTCCATTGCAGTCGTGAAAGACAGTGTTTCTCCTTGTGGAGAAATTCTCTGCAGTTCTTCTTACTCAAGTAAGGACACGCTTTCTGCACCCAACCCATTATTACTTTCTAATGCCAATGCTTTCAATTCTGAGCTATATTTCCTTGTCATTTTAAGTCAGTGGTTTGACGTGACCTCTTTGTTTTCTTTACAAATGTTAAGACCACACACTCTGATCTCTGCTAACACACTGTATTATGCTATTAGACAACTTTTAACATCACATCACATACATATTGCAGTTGCTGTTGGAACATGCCTTTAAAAAATACCTTTATTGGATGAAATTGTCTCTTCCCCAAGAAAAATCTGGTTCTTCAATATAATTTATTATGCCTTTTAAAATTCTGTCTGTTCAATAAAATCTTTGCTACAATATAAATGCCTGTAAAGAAAATATAATTTAAAATTCTGAGAGAAAACATTTTTTTCCTTCAACATTTTTCACAAAACCCACACAGGCACCAAGGAAAGACTAACAATAAAAATAATTTACTCCTGTACAACCTTCTCTGGGTTGGAAACATTCAAAAGAGAGACTTCAAAGTTGTCCTCTGATAAAACTTTGGCTACAACATAGGAAACATCTCAAAACAAAGGAGAGTCCTATGTTTTCCACCCGTTTAAATCTGAAAACATGTTTTCTGAAAGCTGATTTGAGTGTTTGTAGTACTTTCCTCACTTTAACATACTTGACTGACGACTGGTTAAAATCACTGTTATCTGACAGCCTCTGCGCAGGGCTAACAGTGGTCCATTATCACCAAATGGGATTATAATGGTAAAGATTACATTCCCAATTCTGACAATTAAATGTTAATAGATACAAGTTAGTGCTCTCACTAACTCCTACAGTAGCAGCAATTAGAAATTTTAACATTCTGCTTGTTCAGTAGTTATGTATCACCCAAAAGCTTGTGTATTAAAGGGACAACATAAAAAAGCTCTCTTATTGCAAACAATTAGCTTTTTTTTTTTTACTTCTCATTCCATTCAAATGCCTTAGTAGAGAGTAAACAATTTAAGTGTAAGATACATTTACTCTTGCAATTGTTATCTCTGAAGTATGGACAGAAATATGGAATAATTCTTCAAATCAACTACGCTACGTCTATCTAAAGCTAGCAAAAACACAGACTGAGCCACAGGTAGACATCAAACCACTAAAATCAAAGCAAAGGTTTTTAAATCTTAAGTTCAGTAAGATAATTTTTGAAGTTACTTTTAAGCAGTGATTACAGAATTTAGTGTGAAATTTGAAAAATCTCTATCCAAACAGATGAAATATGAACACAATGTTAAACTCCTCTTTTAGAGACACTTGGATCATTTCAAGAAATAGACAACAAAGGAGGAACACATTTTTCTAGAATACTTGGAAAATATTTCCAGTCTACGCTTCTACAGCAGATGACAGAGAGAAAAAAGTGAAACCTAGTCAGCACTTGTTTGGATTATGTTTAGCACTGCAACTAGACACTAGGAGCTTTCATTTCCTTGTACTAGATCATGCCCAATTTCAGAGCATCCAGCACTGCATTGTTTGTTGGTGTTTTTTTGGTTTTTGCTTGTTTCTTTGTTTTTTGTTTTGTTTTGTTTTAAATTATGAACAACAAAATATTTCAATCTTTACTCTGATTTTAAAGAAGTATATGCAGAAAACTACTTGTCTAATATGCTGCCATTCATACCACTCCACTGTGTATGACAGCACATATAATTTTTTCCACTTTAGATAGGGTGATAGATCTTTCTGACCAGTCCACTTCTCCCTTCACTACTTGTAATTATACTCCAGAGAAGCCTCACCACTATGAACTTTCCTTTTATCTTTTCATTCTTATTTTCCTATCACTGCTGCAGGTAAGCAGCAGCCTGTCCTTGCTGCTGATACTACTTTGTTCCCCACTCCATCACATTCTTCTTCCTTTCCTCTCCCTCTTCCACATCCTATTCTGTCCTTCCCTCTATTTATGACTCCCTTCTGGGTATTTTTTTTTATATTACACCTCCCTCCATTAATTTTGCCTTGACTTCCTAGATACTTGGGAGGTGTTAGAATTCACCAGACACTTGAAGATGCAGTCATAGGTTAAGGATGGGACAAAACAATCCCAGCTTTGTTGTCCTGGCTGCTGCGGACATGGACATCTCAGAATGCATTTATATCACTTAACTCTAGAAATCTGACAGAGGCTCCAAAGGCAGGAGGTTGGTTCTTCAAAGTTCACATAGTCAATAAAAATAGATAGGTACTCCACATTATGTAATTCTGAACCAGCGCAAAAACTGGTCAAGTGCTTTTAAGTGCTATCTGTCTTCATTAGCTACATACAGCCTAGAAAAACTAAGCTCATAATTCAGGCACTTCATTTAGGCAGTTTAAGTTAGGTGGTGAGAATCCCCATGGTCTGGAATGCTTTGTTTGGAGCTCTTTTATGTTAGAATATGACTGTCTCTAGTCTAAACCATTAATAACTTAGTGATGCTCCAATTCAATTCCAGTTTCCCAACTGCTCCTTTACAAGAGAACAGAAGGGTAAGAGTGCATTGTTGTTCAGAAAAAAAAAAAAAAAAGAAAAAAAAATACTATGAGGGAAGAGGTACTTGCTGCAGGTGTTAAATCTTCAGTAAATGCCAAATATAAGACTGCTCTACTCATTACGAACACAGAGATGAGAGTATCTCCCCATAGCTTCAGCTGTTGTGTTCAAAACTGCTTGGCAATTCAGATTTTGAATCCTACTGCAGGCTAAGGGAGTAGGGTAGAAGAATAAATAATGTGAAAATGTTTAAAATAGAGCATTAGTATTTTCAAGGGAATACTGCTGCATTTCACGCCTGAGGGGGCAAATCTACTCTGATGGTAATGAAGAAAGTCTTTGAAAAAAGCTATTACTAAAAAGCATCAGCTTACTGCCTTATCATCCCACATTCATTTTTTCTTCCTTGAAGTTTGTGTTAAATATGAAGCAAAGCAGCAATCACACAACTAGAGCATACAATAGAGTTCTGAAGAAAAACCCAAATAAAATGGAGGTGGGGTGGGATAATGAATATTTCCAACTCAATGTCATATCCTATAGTTTAGTTTCCTTCATTTATAATATCAACCAAGGCTTGCAGCAGTCTGTCATCTCTATGCTTGTATGGTTTGGCATTGTAAAAAAGATCAACATAGTCACTGTACAGACTTTCTTCTGAGTCTTTTAACTGGGAGGGCTTGTTTAATTTTTCGAGGGCTTGATAGAAGTGCTCATATGGAATGCTTAACTTCTCACTTGCAGTCTTCTTCGGCAGTCGCTTCTGAGCCATCTGTCTGCTAAAAGCACTTCGCAGTAAATGCAGCATAGCCTCTGATGGGAACTTATCTTCTGCTTTGTTCCTGGTGCTACCGATATCTTGTGTTCCTTTGTTTTTTGCACTCAAATTTTCCTGTGTGGTACGATCCTGGAATGCAGATTGGCATAAAGGAGATTAGGCATCACTGGAATAAGAGTTGCTCTGATTAGTAATTTTCATGTACATGTTTGTAGATGCTATTTTTTTCAGTTAGGAGCCACTAGCATCTAAAAAAGAACTAAATCACTACATGTCAAAAAGGACTTCAAAAGGACTTTACTGCATAAAGAACCAAATCTCTCCACAAGTTATGAAGATCCCACAGTGGAAGGATGCAATTTCTAATTTTACAGCGACATTTGTCTCAGTCTCAAAATACTCCTAACGGTGCTATGAAAGACAGTTCCATGGCCATCCATCTGGAGGAAGTACGCACTGTGGTGATGGCAACTCCAGATGTGCCATATACCCTTTGTGGAAAGGACTGAACTAATGTTTCCATGTTATCTGCTCCACAGTTGCTCTTGCCTGAGAAGACAGTGAACTTTGGCTTATCTGTGGCCATGACAGGTAACTCAGTAAACTTTGGAAGGCTAGTGCCAAGTACAGATGTACAGAGAAATCAGTCATGCACAGCCTCATTTGAACACTGTTATGGCTCAAATGCTGTAGAATGAGCCTGTATGATGTCTTTCTATTGGAACATTCACTTCATCTTGAGCTGATTTTTATACATGTTTCCACCAAGTTTCTTCTACAACACCACCTGAATCCAGTTTTATTTTTCTTCAATTTTATTTTACTGCATGTGGCTGCCACTATGGACACTTAATTTTATGCCTTTAAAGTCCATAATCATGTTTCCCTCAATCTTCTTTGTAACCTCGCTGAAGAAGGTTAATCTTTTTATACGTTATGGACGTTCTAATTAAAGGGGAGATGAATAGATGGGATGTAATTAAGTATTCTGCAGACACTGACATAATCAACAGTACAAGGGCTGCTTCAAAAATAATGCCTCCTCTTTTATGATGTTGGCCCACTACATCAGAGACAGACAGCGGTGCAGTCATAGAGGCTGAATTTCCAACCAGTATCCCTTCACATGTTGTTGCTGTGTGACAGATGGCAGCAAAGGGGCAGTCTGACAGAATGGCAGCTGAAGTGGAAGAGACATGAAGTAAAGGTGAGTCACTGAATTCCTCCACTGGGAAAAATAGTACCCACTGACAATCACTGATGCTTGCTGAACAATGATGGAGACCAAACAGTGGATGTGATCACAGGGAGTAGACAGGTCATGCATTTCAGCAATAGTGACAGCAACGTGAAAGAATAGCCATGTTCTGGCTGGCCATGAACAGCTCTCACACCGCAAAATGAAGAGTATTTTGATCAGTTCATCTGCACAAATTGGAGGATTACAACCAGAGAACTATGTAAAGAGCTGAATACTGGCTTCATTGCCAGTGGCAACATTGGGATAATGCAAAATCTGCACCAATTGGGTGACACAAATGCTCACACAGGAGCAGAAAGAACACTGTACACAGGTTGGTCAGGACTTACTGAATCAATATGATGTTTAAGGTGACATTTTCCTGCATCACATCACTACCTGTGACAAGACATGGTGTCACCACTACTACGTCAAAATGACAATGCATGGAGTGAAGACATGCAAATTCTTCATTGAAGAAAAAGTTAAAGATGCAGCGCTCAGCACATGAAGTGATGTTTTTTTGGGACTGACAAGAAAGCAGTGATCCTTCTGGATTCCTGAAACCCAGACAAACCATCAGTTTTGACTGCTACACCATGACACCGACTTAGCGGAAAGCTCGAACTTCCTGAGTAAGGCCAGAGAAGAAGATTACCTTTCTCCTGCAACACAGTAACTTCAAGCCCTATAGCAGTTTGAAGACTGTGGAGCATGTTGCCAGGCTTGGTTGAAGTGTTGTACCACACCCACCCAAGTACAGTCTTGATACAGTGACTTCTGACTTACACTTTAGGCTGATGAAAGATCAACTGTGTGGGCACATATTCTTAGCAACATATTCTTAGCAACAGCGCTGTCATAGCAGCTGTGAAACAGTGGTTTACTTCTGCTGATGCAGATTTTATGAGCATGGCATGCAGGCTCTTGTTCATGACTGGCAAAAATGCACAGGTAATGGTGATGACTGTGGTGAAAAATAGTGTTTTGTAGCTGAGAAGGTGGTCCATCAAACAATGTTATTGTAGTCTTTGTATTTTTTATCATTTGTTCTGAAATAACAGAAGGCACTACTTCCAGAACACTGTGAATATTTGCATTCAGAAAACTACTGCTATTCTCAGAAGCCTCAAATACATTCATTTTCTATGAAATGAACTATGCCTCAAAGTTATGAAGGGGTGAAAAAGGAGATGGCAGCTCCTTAACTGAACTGTCTGAAGTGTTCTAGCTTTTGTGATGTATTATGTAACAAACCTGCTTCAAAACTCCCTAAAAACATATCAGCAGATTCTTTTCAGATTCTATATTAACTTTAACTAGAATTACAAAAATTTACTATGCATTCCTCCCTCCTGTACCATTCAACTGCATAAGCTGTTGAGTTCAAAGCTTTAGTATCAGCATCCCCTTTCAATACTAAAACTGTAAGGTATTGTAGTATTTGAGACTAATAAAAATATCAATTGTTGATATGTTGACAAAATTACAATACTTGCACAACTCAAAAGTGTTCTGGAGCTAGAGAAAATAAATGCAAAATGTGTATGTGTCTTATCACTACAAAAAAGGAAAAAAAAAAAAAAAAAGCTTAATTTTCTTACAAATTTGAAAATACGTTAAGAAAATGATTAATGAGACACTACCTCTACAAGGTCTGTCATCTTCTCCACTCCTCTTCTGTCATTTTGCACAGCATTGTAAGATGTGTATACACGTGGTTGTTTCATATGTTCAGGCTGGGTATCAGTGCCATGCAAAATCAATTTCCAGTTTACAATCCTTCCTTCATTTTGTATTCTTTTGGACTAAAGGACAAGACAGCATTAGCATAGGTTCTCAGAATATAAGAGGAATAAACAGAGGATATTTGATCATAAAGAAGTGAGAATTCACTAAAATAAAAAAGGACTCCATCAGTATATAAATTTAGACCATGATTTGTAAACCCCAACAGACTGACACATTAAGGACAGAACTCACCAGAAGGTGGGATTTAGTACAATGGCTTGACTAGCAACATGTCGACAAAACATAATTATTAATTAGCCTTATAAGCATCAATGGAATTTCATAACAATACTAAAATTACTGAAGTAGTATTTTGTATTATTAATGTTAGTTCACTAAGCCATCAAATGACAATTTTCTTTAAAAAGTTACCTATAAAATGTTTGGAATAACATTCTGTTGTGATGTACAACAGCATTCTGAATCACAGCTTGTGGAAGCAAGAAACAAATGCTTTGTACATTAGTTTTGACACTGATCTTTAAAAAGTAGAAAGTGGAAGAGACAAGTACAGAAAACAGTGAAATTTTATTTTTCCAAAGCTTCTTTCAGATTTTTTGCTTCTTTACCTAGTGGCTGAAGAGAACCTTCTTTACTATAGAAAATTTATACCAAAGTTACATATGAAAGTTGTATGACAACTCAATTATCAGTAACTCTGCATGGTGGTCTGTTATTCCAATTAGTCATTAATGGTAAAACTTATTTCTGGAACCAAAAAACTCTAAACACTGAGGAATAGTGCATTATTTCTTGCGGACAAAAGTTTGCCATACTGTAGGTTTCAAGAACTTACTGCAATTGGAAAATGAGAGAGAATCAAAACCAAAATACCCTTTTTGTTTTTTTTTCTAAAAAAAAAAGCATCATTTTAGTTACAAAGAGCAGGATATCTGTAGCCATAGGGTTATCCGTAAGTCCACACAGTATTACCACTATACAGTTGTCAATAATATTTACTTCTACTGCCTTGTCCACCTGTTCAGTATTAAAGCCATGTTTACAATTCGAGGCCAATAAGGGTTGGAGACTCAGTGTCTGATAGGAAGCATTCAGTTTCTTGCATGATCTGATCCCTAATGACAAGCTGATTAACAGACAGTTTCAATGAAATTCTCCAGAGATGAGTGAGCTCTTATTCTTTGAAAAGAATGATTTTTTCACCTGCCTATCAAACAGCACTCTTCTGATTTTAATAAACTTACTTATTTTATATCTGCAGATTTCTTGGCTTTAGTCATTACAGGTTTTTCAGCAGTCATTACTCTTGAGAAAGAGGTTAGGGGAAGATATATAACAGAATAGTTCCCCAAGGTCATCAGAAATTCATTAACTCAGAAGGTTTTGAGTTAATGACAATTATGCCCATGTACCAAGAAGAGACTAGGTATATCCTGTGTGCTTTTCTGCAGAAAAGAACTAATTTGCAGTTAATCATATGCAAATTTGATTACATACTTCACACCATGAATCACAGAAAATTACATGAAAAACTGATCTCTTTCAGTGACATACAATGTGAGAAAAACATAGGCATGAAATGTCTTTTGACAGGTACATGTCAATGAAATGAGTACAGTGCATTGCATTCGTGTAAGAACAAGAAAATCTGTCTGTCTTTTTCTGCCTCAGATGAGCCTTTAATCTTTAATCCAATGGTTACTTAGTTTAAATAAACTCTTGTTGTAGCTTGCTTAATGCATACTCAGTATTCAACACATTTGATAGTGGTTGTGATAGGGTTAGCGATGAGTTAACTTTCAAACTTAGCCGGTTGGCATGCAGACATACTTACCACATCAGTAATTCTTAACACCCAAGTGCCTGTTGGATTCTCTCCCCATGTGTGCACAGACATGAAATCCCAGTTCTTAAAGCCATTGGGAGATTTATCTCGCTCTCTCTCAGCCAGTAATACAGTGCTGGTCCCTGTGTTAGTGCAAGATCAACAGTAGAGACTGTTCATGTTTCCCCTTCAACTTTCACGTTGTTTGTTTGCAAATTACATAGTGTAAAGGTAACCTGAAAAAACACTATTCAGCAGTGGCTTGGTGAACGTGGAATGTGCTAGTTCTGATCGCTGGTTACTTCAACAAATGAGCTTATGCAGTATACACCAAGGCCCTACCCTGAATTTATCACTGTATATTTTTTGGTGAGTGTAAACCGTTACAGTCTGGAACTCCAACAGGGTGAAACGTATTTGCATTTTTATTACTATTACAAAAATGCTGTACTTCACAAAGCAATTCTGCAGCAGAAGAGATTCTGCTGGAGAGCAGATTTGTTGTGCTGATTTGTATGTAAGCAGAAAACAAGGGAGGTCTATTTTATGTAACAAGGGGAGCAGAGAATCGCCAGAGAGCCTAATCACAAGATAAAAATACATCACATTTGAAAAGTCATGGCTGTCAGGCAAAGACCCCGATGATTGGAAAAAGGGAAACATCACTGCTGTTTTTAAGAAGGGTAGAAAGGAAGACCTGAGGAGCTACAGGCCAGTGAGACTCATGTCTGTGCTTGGGAAGATCACAGGCTAGATCCTCCATGGAGCAGATGGAAAAGATGTCAAGGCACATATGAGATGAGGTGACTCAAGATAGTCAACATGGCATCACCAATTGCCAATCTGGCGGCCTTCTACAATGGAGTGGAAGAGCAACTGATGTCATCTATCTGGACTTCTGCAAGGCCTTTGACATGGTCCCACCTCACATCCTTATCTCTAAGCTGGAGAGAGATGGATTTCAACAGTGGACTACTCAGCAAGAGTAGAATTCTTTGAGAGCATTCCACTGGAGAAGGACCTGGGCTTTCTGGTGGACAAAAAGACAGATGTGAACCAGCAGTGTGTGCTTCTAGCCTAGAAGGGAAACTGCATTCTGGGCTGCATCAAAAGAGTGGTATGTACTGCATTCATATCTAGGGATCCCAACACAAGAAAGACATGGAAGAGGTGGGACTAGGTGGGCTTTAAGGTCTCTTCCAAAACATTCTATGATTCTCTTATTCTCTGATTAAAGAGAATAGTGTAAATATAGAAATGGAATGACAAATTTGGTAGGAATGTTTCACAGGAAAGTAGAAAAACAGCAAGAACTAAGGGAAAGAAGAGTCAGATGAATCCACGATAAGGTAGGGTGTCTAAGTATACTATACGTACAATACCTTAACCTGCTTTGAAGTGAGGTCATGTAACAACGATATGAACAAATCATTACTTATTTATTGTCTGTGAATTACTAGATTAGCCTGATGTTTAAATTCATATCTGTTTTCTTTTGTTTTTGAATAATATCAGCTGAACTGACTGAAGATCATACTTTCAACAAAGTTGTTTATACTCATTCTCCTTTATTTTTCTTCCTCTCATCATGTTATTTCAATGCACCATAAGGATAGCTTGCCATGTTGCAGTATGTTTTGTAAAGTTGTACTAAAGTGACAAACAGAGACATACTTTTTTTTTTTTAACATACACCAGTGGGGAGACAAAGTCAGATGAACTCTAGGGAGTCAGATTTCCTCAGTTTTCCATTAGGTCATCAAATCGCAGTAAGGTTAATAAGCATTATTAAACTATAATTTGATACCACCAGGGGCTCTCAATTTTTAAAGGTCCTGCTGCTTGAAGGCAACATATTAGAAATAGTGCCTTCATCTCTAAATCATGATTTACTTTCACCTTACAAAAATAACCCAAAACACAAGAATGAAAGAGGGATTCAGAGAACCAGTTCCTTCATTTCCAGGATGCTCTGTTCTCACACTCCTCTGTTCATTGTAACTATATTTGTATAATTATGTATTTTCAATCTACAAAGAACACACAGATAGTTTCTAACGCTTCCCATACCTGACGGAGACACCAGAGTGACATGAAGATCTCCTCTCCGGGAATATTCAATAGTTGCTTCAAGCTGCACATGCTCCAGAGATGCAATTGAGTTCTCTTGACCCTCACAGGCTTTTGTAGGAATTTCAATGATGACCTCCTCATTTGCTCTTAATAACCTGGCAAAATTACAGAAGTTTTATTTACAGAAATATATGATTCTGGATTAATATGTGAAGTGTAGAGATGAGTTTAACAGTCATTCTAGAATGGGGGCACAGCATAAGCAAGTGTTTTGCAACCCACCCTGGAAGCAAGCAAGCAGGTCTGACAACTGAGTCTCTCTCTGTATTTTATTGTCACACAGAGACTACAAAATTAAGTCTTTGCAGCCAGATACACCACATAATTGTCAGACCTACACATAGTTGCCTCACTGAAATATTCAGGAGAACTGAGAGTTAAAACACTGCAAGAACCTGAGTGCTTTTAAACTTTTGTAATTCATGTCATCTCTAGAATAAAAGCATTACTTATTCTGTACATTCTCAGAGCACTGTGCATAGTATTCTCTTCACATTTTCCATTAATAGTAATGAGAATGCAGTATCCAAATCTCCGAAGAAATGATTCAGAACTCAGTGTATTGAGATCTTTGTTTTATAATGCAACAAAGAAGACAGCAATAAAAATGCATAAACAACAGATATAACATACATCACTAGATCAACATTCTATGCAAAAGAGAGGGCTCATAAAAACAAATTGATAGTAAAATAGCATAAATAGTAAGGTTACCGAGCAGTTACAATCCAAAACAAAAGGCAATCCATTTCTACAGAGAGATTTTTAGTGCACTCACAGTGTAATTTCTATCTTTGAAATACTGTATTTATTCTACAGAACGAACATACATATGAACAGGTAGAAAAAGAAAGGTCTTACTGATTAACTAGTTTAGTGACTTCTGATATAAGCTACCTGTACATTGAGCTCAGCTTAGGCTTACTGTGCTGCAATCATTAGTGATTATGGCTTGTCACTCTTTTCAGCGAGCCTTAGAGACTCTTATTTTTCATAAAAGCAGTGCTGTAGATGGGACTAAAGCTAAGTGTATCATCCTGGCTTACATTATGCGTGTCATGTGAGAGAAGTTGCTAAGACTTACTACAGATATTCCTTTTAAAAACATATCTGAAAAACTTTGGTATCTTTTTCTTCATCCACTGATAGCAGTCTAAACACTGCTACTTGATCAGGTTTGGTCTCACAGCATTATCCACCCATACACTGGCTGTATGAAGAGCCACAGTGATCTTATCCTATGTGAGGGCTCATGCTATTTATTTTAATCAGTCTTACACTAAAAAATAGCAAACAAACAAATGTTGCTTTCTCGACCCTGGGGAATGCAGCTGGGCAAAAAACCAAATCAGAGACCAAAGATACACCTTAATTTTAATTTGTTTTAGAGCAATCTGTGTGCAACACTATCTTTCTCGCTTTACTAAGCCTAACTACTGCTAATGTCTTACCTTGGTTCAAAGCTTCTGTCTTTAACAATACACTCTCTCTTTTCTGGTACACCTTTCCATCTTTTGGGATCAGCTAAATCCACCAATGCATTTGCATTGAGTAGTCCAAATCCAAATCTGCTGTTCACCATCAGCCCCGCTCCGTTCTTCTTCCATCCTGGATTGACAGCCAGTGGATCATATTCCGAGGTCCACACTACCAAGTGCTGCATATCCCTCCATGTTAGATTTGGGCTGTTGAGAAAATGATCCTGGTTAATTGTTTTGGTACTAACCATCACTTTTCTCTTAGTTATTATTTTGCAATATAAAGTTTTGGAAATGTACCTAGTACTGAATTATTAAAAAACAACAACAACAACAAAAACAAAACAGTGCATGCTTATGCTGACAACACTTTGGGTAGACAAGATTTCTATGTAAATTAAGAACTGGTATCTAGCAAGATTAGAGTCCAATCACTCAAAATCCCGTAGGCATTTAAATTTATCTAGCAAAAGCAGTATTTCCCACCAGTCTTTACAGAAGTTGGGTGTGAATATTCACTGGGCATTTGATTCTATCTATCTGTGATTATACTCCAATCCTTAAAATATGGTCCTAGGTATCATGGCTTATATCATCAAAGGAGTACACAATAGCATATGGAGCAAAACACGTACTATTCAAGTGCTAAGCCTACATCTTAACACCTGAAGTGAAAAGGCCATTGCCTTGTCTTGTCCTGTCCTATTCTTTATCCCCGCCTCAAAGTCATACTATCTAACTATCAGGCCTGCAGGGCCTGAACATATCTTCTCTCTTCTTGCTTTGAAAGTCAAACTTGTGTACCTTCAATTATATGTCTCATCATTGCCAGAAAAGATTCTGCACATTGATTAAACATTTCACTCATACTTCTGCATTCTACCATCTTCAAAATATGCTCTCTTGACAGTACAGCCTCAATTCTTTTAAGTCCTATTGATTGACTCAACAAACAATTATCATCAATGCACTAAATGGACTGAAATTCCTTGGTCATTACATGCTGCTTTTGTAGGTTCTGATTTGCTAGACAGGTATTGAGGCAGATAGCTGTTTAGTTTTGTCATCAGGTAGAGCAAGACTAACTGACAAAAACTGGAACTGCAAAGTGATACGGTTTAATTTGAAATAAGCAGCATTTGAGGGAAGACAGTAGGGAAGACTTTCAATTGTAATTTTATGACATCTTACTTTACTTCCAGAGCAAGAGCAAAAATTCCTGCTGCCAATGGTGCAGATGCAGAGGTCCCAGTGTGAGTCTCTGTACATTCATTGTGAAGATCAGCACTTGTCTGCCAGAAAAACAACAAAAAACAAATTGCATGAATAAGCAGTAGTAAATACAATCATATCCACACTCACAAACGTAGCCATGTATCTTCCACTTGGTGCGTATTTATACATTCCTTACCAGCAGAGGAAGGGATGTTTAAATTTGTTCATATTTCATTCTACTCTTTTTACTTCAACTATATTTTTTGTATCAAAATGTTTTGCGTTTGAACAAAATACTCCCACACTGAGTATCTTTTTTTATTCTAAGGTTTCGCAATAAGTGTTTCAGGCCTACTGGTGAATCATAAAAACAGATCATTGTGTTGGGCCTAGAACATTTAAAATTACTGCTTGCTAGAAAATTACTCATAGGATTAGTATTAGTGTTCTGCTCTCTCTTCAGCTGAAGAACTATAATTTGCAATGAAACATGTGCTTTATTTGGCAATTAAATACCAAACTCATCTGCCCATGTATCTCTAGAAACAGAAAGGGAAACACTGAGACCTTTATAACTCAGATCTGAAGAGTAATCTCTTAGGAAGTATCAGTTCCTCAGCTAAATTGCAATGACACTGTTTTAATCTCCACTCATATAATTCATTCTAAAATTACCACCAACCAGAGCTGAAAAAAAATCATAGGTCCTTCAGTATTATTTAATCACAGCAAATTTCTTTCATACAAGTTATTTCTTGCACAGTTAATGAAGGTACAGGCTGATCTGTCCACTTACTGGGCACCTTTTATAGGTCTGCAAGCACCACTGTTGTTGTCATTCGGAACATTAGGAACTGAGGGATTAAAAATATTACAGAAAGTGTTCGAGTGACAACATGCACAGAGATGCTAACTTGTACGGGCACATAAAACTCACTAGTTCTTTTTGCATATACTCTATGTCTCTCTTTGTGATAAATGGAACCATCTTCATGCAGAGACATCTGTCACACTCAAATGTCAGAAGATTTCAGCATGCTAATTTAAATGCATTGCTACAACAATTAGCCAATGTTTTACAAAATAGTAGGTGTTCAGAAATACAAACATGTTTTGTACTATAAACTCCTCACTGTCTGAAAATGAAATCACTAAGCATATGAAAAGTAAGCAGTAGAAACAAAGCATTTAAGAACTCTAATTTGTTAGTTACATATATAAAACATTTTTATGTTTGTTCTGAATCTGGTAAAAATAACCTACAATTCTTTGGTCAGTATAGTCCCCGCTGCTGTACGCTGTGGCCAGAGTTGAAGAGCACTTCTCTGCATACCAGGGAGAAAGGCCTTGCTGAGAAGCACTGCTAATGGAGATAGTGTAGATACTATCAGTGTAACCATCACAGTCACAGTTGTCACCCTGACGACCTCCATTCCCCGAAGCCCACACAAAAATGGAGCCTTTTCCATTTCGGCCCTGAAGGAAATGAAATGTGAGGTTATAAAAGAGATTTCCATCGTCATAATACATCCTTAACAACTCCTCTTGTCTCTACCATGAGACCCTAACACATCTAACATTTTCAGGTAGAAAAAGACAATCTTCTATAACATCATAGAAGACATATAGAAAAAAAAAATGCTACTTGAGGTGTTCTATCTCAGATCCCATAGCACATCCTTTGTTTGTCTGTATCTTTTAGATTGACTGGTCTACATTTAGTGTCCAGAGACAGTAATTTTCCTCAAAACAGGCATTAATGTTAAAAACAGGTTCTGTGATCAACAGGTAATTTTCCCCACTTGTCTGCATTTAGTGCTGAACATTTGTAGGAAGAACACTCTTTTTATTTTTTCCTTTCCTGTTTCCTTTTTTTTTCCCTTTCATTTTCCCTTTCCCCATCCTTTTTTCCCTTTTCCCTTCCCTTTTTCTTTTTCTTTTTTTTTTTTTTTCCTTTTCCTTTTTCCCTTTCCCTTTCCCTTTTCTTTTCCTTTTCCTTTTCCCTTTCCCTTTCCAGTTCATCAGGAGTTATTTCACTTGCACTTGAATTGTGGGTAACCAGTGAAAACAATATACTTAATATGACTCTTCCGCCATTATTTTTGGAATAAAATCTTTCACTGTTAGTGCTTGCTGAAAACCAGAAAACCAAAAAGCACATCTGGATGAAAATCCTCCTTTCTCTCACAAATCCATGAACCAGCACCAGCAATCTCAGGATGTAATCATTCTTACTCCCTTCTTGGGCCTTCAGTGTGTAATAAGGCACCAACAGCTAACGACTGATGCTGACAGCTGACAACAGAGTGCTGCAGCAGCATGTGAACTATCACAGCTATCAAAGAGAAAGCACACACCAGCTATTCAATTCAGTCTTATGCTGAGATAGTCCTTTAGAGGAGACAATACATTTTGTGTGAGGAGCAAGTTCGTATTTTATTATTTGTTAATATATGTATATTCACTGGAACCTGCAGTTGAAATACACTCTCACTCAGATGAGATTTATTCATGCAAGCACTGAGTGATACTTGCAGCATTTAAAACATTAAAAATAAAGAAAAGAAAACAAAAGCTGCACTCTTTTTGATACAGTTGCAAAAATACGCAGGACAACCAACATCCGTTACAGAAAATGAGATAATATTTTGTTTTGAGAATCAAGGCTGCAATCCAGAAAGGCAATGATATATGTAAACAGGTGTTTGATTCCTGCTGGAGTGCTCCTAATGGTGCACAGATGTTTACGGCTATGCATATGCTTAAGTGCTTTACTGGGCCAGCAATAAAGGGGTCAGGGATTAAACTTAACTTTGTTGGCAACCCCATCTCTAAGTAACTTGATGGGGAATGAAGCGCATTCAGATCCTTGCCAGAGGAAGCCTGACAAATTATGGGTAAATTTGATCCCCTCATTAAACAAAAGAAGTTGGGAAAAAAAGAAAAAAAAAAAAAAGTACATTCTTTATCAAATAACCTGTTTTTTTTTTCCAAGTAAAACCATTGAACACTGGTTCCCTAACTGCTGCTTTTCGCTGTTCCTCTTTTCTTGCCGTGTACATACTGGATGCTTGTTACCATAAACCCATTCCACAACCTCCACTCTTCCCTCAGAGCATGTCACCTGTCAGACTTGCCTTTTTTTTTCCTCTCCTGTCTGCTCTGTTTCCAGTATCGTCTTTTGCTCTGCTCCTGTCCTTCATGCATTCTCCATTTTCCTTCTTTCTTGACCTTGATTCACATTTCCTTTCTACATTAGTGCCTGTCCATCTTTAGATATCTTTTTATCTCACTGGCAAGAGCAAGAGCAGTTTTTTTGATAGATCCCCAGTAGCTCTGTTAGTATCCCCACTCATCATCCAATGAGATCAAAAAAGCATAACAAAAAAAAACAGACCTACTTGTAAAACCACTGTTTCCATTACTCTTCATTATGCATTTTTGCTATCTTCACTTTAATTGTAATGTGATACGCATTTATTTATGAACTAATGCAACTAACACAATACAAACCCATCCACAGGGCGCTAAAATGCATCAGTATTTCATACAGCAAAATATTCATGAAGCAGAAATTTTGTATTAAATTTTTATAGGCTTTCAGTGCAGAAATCCAATTACTGTTCAGTGCAAAATAAGCGGCAGAGAAGGGTGGGGGCAGGGTGAGACAGAGGCAGCAGAAGTAAGGATGGAAGAAGAAAGCTTTTCCGTGGAGAATACCAGCTAAAACAAGCTTAAGAAGGCTCTAATCGCACCTTTTTGAAAGTCATGTTCTAGCTGGCAATTTCGGACCAGTACTATTAAAATGTCTGTTCTGCTTTTCAGTTATGTGAATAGAGCACAAATCATTTTCATTTCCTGCCTGAGACAAACCACTTTAAAATTCTGTCCTCTGTCACGTTTTATTGTATTTTTTTTTCATAAGTATAATACCTGTTTTATCCCATATTCAAAAGCTTTCTGTGCCAGTCTCCCAGGTCCCTCAACAGTTTTACCATCATCATTTGGGCCCCAGCTTGCACTGTAAATATCCACGTGTTCCGGATTGAAACCAATTGAACTGGCCTCAATAGCATCAGTGACTATTCCATCCAGCATGCGTATACCTTAACAAAGAAAAACAAGCAGATTGTATTAACTTTCTGTTTCCCTCTTCCTCTTTGCTACCTCACTGTTGCACTTCCAGCAAAATTAATCTAAATCAACTTCACCATAGCCTATTGCTATTTATTTAAATAATACTCAGGTCAGTGCAAAACAGTATACTTACCCTTTTTGCAGAGCTTGGGGCTCTATACACACTGGGGAAAAAAAAAACAAAAAACCACTAATATCTTGATTGCACTTTAATGACTTCTTTTTCTCTTTTTGCAGAAAGCCAAGAAGATGATGTTTCATTTAGTGTTCCTGTTTTCTTGTTATTACATTGAGCTTTTTTTACTTCATTCCTTTCCTACTAAATCTGCAAAAGACTTCTTCACTGAAATGGCTATTTTATCGTTAAAACTACATAGGTTTTACCAACACTATTTTTAAGAGTTAATTATGACTGTGCCAACTGATACACTCAGTCCTCTCTGCCATTAAGCTTGTACTGTCTTTGTGATCCTATTTCACCAATTCTTCATTTTTATGACAAAAAATTCTCAATGCTGTTTTACTACCACATTTTTTCCGACTGTGAGCAATCCAGAGAGACTAGTGATAACAAGCCATTAACATTTTATTGGGAACTGCCTGATCTAATCTTCAGAGCAAGCTTGAGATCAGTGGTACTTAAAATTCAGCAGCAGACAGTGGCTCATCTGCAGTAGATGACTCGCTCTGCAAACTCTAGCCTTCAATAGGATTGCTATCACTGTCCAGGACTGGATGAGAAAAGAAACAGCAGCAGTCTGGCAACCTTCCCACTGTGGTACCCTTCTCCCAGCAACAGTAGCAATAGATGAGCTACAGGAGTCAGGACTCAGCCCATTTTCAACAAATAAATATTCTCCTGAACCTGCCAAGCTTGTACTACAGCAGTGTGAGTACTACAGAATTATGTGTACTCATTTCCGAGTATTTTCCACTAAATGGGAATTTTTCCAAAACATGTCAAGAAGAATGTGACTGCTCTAGAAAAATGAAAAAGAAAAAAAGCTCTTCCACTTGCATCTATGTGTGTCATTCTTCATTTTCACTACCAATCATTAAAAAAGCATAACCTTGTGCACAGACAGGAACTCCAAGACTCCTCAAATCATTTGTGAGAAAGCTGAGCTTGATTATTTAATAATATTTACAAGGGGAACTTACAAGCAGGAGGGAGAACTACTTTTTACACAATCTGGTTGCAATAGGACAAGAGGGAATTATTTTAAACTAAAAGAGGAAAGGTTTAAATTAGATGTGAAGAGGAACTCCTTTACTCAGAGGGCAGTGAGGCCCTGGCACAGCTGCCCAGATAAGCTGTGGTGCCCCTTCCCTGAAGGCGCTCAAAGCCAGGTTGGATGGGGCCCTGGGCAGCTGAGCTGGTGGGGGGCAGCCCTGCCCACAGCACTGGCTGGGGCTGGGTGGGCTTTATGCTTCCTTTCAACTCAAACCATTATATGATTCTATGGTTATTTCACATTAATAAGTGGCAAAAAGAGGCAAGGGAGTTAATTTGCTCAACTACTGATACCACTATCACTCCTAAAGCTGAGAAAAGAATCAAGGTATATCCTGTGCCTCAGGTTCTAAAAATACCACTTACCCTCCAGAGGCTAAAGCTTGTAACATTTTGAGCACTCCTATTTCAGGTGGCTTAGAACTGTGAGATGCAGTCATAGCAGTGCACTGTGAGCAAAGATCTGCCTGTGTGAAAATGACTGAAAGCTTTCGGCACTGGGTTGTAACACATCATGAGATAGTGGGAATGCAGAGAACAGTATACAGATATTTCCCAAACAAACCAAGCCAATGCAACTGACAAATAATGTGGTAAGGAATAAAACAACATCACTGGTAACACAGTGATAAAAATGGCTCAAGAAGAAAAATAAATCATTGCCTTATTTTTGTAATCTCCCAAAACGCTGCACGTTTAAGCCAACCCAGAGATTTGATGACTGCAGTAATATTTCCCTAAGCAGATTCCAATGATCTTCTCTTGCATAAATTCTTCCGCATGCCTTCTCTCATCATCAGTACCATAAATTGACAAGCAGGCAAAGCCCAAGGTAATTTCAGAGATGTATACACATTTGCATGGCAGAAGGTTATTCTTAGCAACACATCACTGTGTGGGAACTCTCAGCCCAGTCCTTTGTAATATCGAGCTTCTTCATCATTTGATTTCCATGGCAGCACCAGAGAAATGCTGTAGCATGGTGTGATGGTTAGATATGTATGAAGATATATAAACCCTGCTTTACTCCATATACACACGTTTCTCAACTCTATCCAAAGCAAGAGGTTCATGTTAAAAGAAACTGACCTTAGTAAGCATTTGCTTCACACCATACACAGAAAAGCTGCACAGATACAAGGTCTTAAAAAGACTCGTGCAGATTTCAGAACAGGGCCAGACATTAACTTGACAAATTAGAACACTCAAGATTGTTAGTACTTTCTGTTATTATCTTCATGGAAAATAAGGAATTATTAATTGACTATTTTACATCAGGACACAGTTAAAGCAGTCTCTGCTGTCGAAGGTCAGAGAACAGCATACTCCAAGTGTCAGTCTCCTTCTTTAAAGCATATATTCCTGACTATCAGAGAGAATACAGTGGCTCTGGACCAATGGATTCATGCAGCATGGCAACTGATACAAAGAAATAACTGCTTAAAAAAGCCATCCTGAACTGACATCAAATAGAAGTGTGAAATGCATCGTTTCAAGCATTTAATAAGAAAAAAAAAGAACAAAACCTGTAAAGAAATAAATCCTGTGTAGCTCCCATCTCAAAAAAGCCTTCCAGTGACCACTCAGAGCAAATCCCAAATGTAGCTAATCCTTTGAAGACTCCTCCTATTGCTCTTCAAATGAGTTTTTGTTCAATCCCTAACATAATTGAGGTAGTCATGCAGGCCAGCTTACTATTTATTTCAATTTTCCTAATTTTCACCTTCCTTGTCCAATTACAAGCAGATTTCTGCAATTTGGAGTGCTGGATTGCTTTTCCTCCTGTTATTTTCCTTTTGCAGACAAATCACCCAGTACAGAATTCTAATACGCACTTGCAAATGAAAACTGTGGAAAAACCTTCTGTGTAGATGTAAGTACCTTAAAATAGTGACACAGCAGGAGTTCAGACATCACTGCAGCTTCATCCATTTTGCCTTGCTTTGAAAATCTGGCATCTTCATCTTGTGAGTGAGATATTTTATTTAAACAGAGTATGACAGCATAATGCATTGTGGCAAAGGTAGAATGCAAAGCTGACAGCTCAGCAAAGTAAATGGGAACCTATGAAGGTAAGACTAAAATGGTGGGAATGGCAGTTAAAGGTGTCAATTGCCACTTAACATCCCTTTGTTTAAAAGAAAAAATGGAAAAACCAGGACTGTAACAAGTATCTTCCTCTGAGCTAAATAACCATTTACCATTGATACTTCGATCATAAGTATTTCATAAATCACTAATGGATTAAACTTTTAACCACCTCTTCAAAAAATGAAAATACTGACTGATGGACAAGAATAAATATCTATTTTCAAAATTAATTTATGATGATAATAACCACAGCACTATGAATATCTGGACTGACACGACTTCTTGAAAATAACTGTGTTGATGAAAATAATATGCTATAAGCAAAGGTGGGTATAAATTTGGATGTATTTTCTTCTGTTCTTCTCAAATCATTCTCCTCCCCCATGCCATCTTCTCCCAAAACAACCAGCTATAAGAAGTGGATCTGTCATTCTTTTAAAGAAACAACCTTCTCTCTGGGTACAAAACAGATTGTTTTTACTACCCATATCATTTTCTAGTTATTATTTTCTTGTTACATATTATGTGATTTACCTATATTGAAGTGAAAACCAGAATCCAGAAAATACGTTGGAATTTAAGAAACAGTGTCACTCTATCCTCTAGCCTGTAACCGCAAGAGTGATGCCTCCTGGTTTCCATTCACATCACACATCTAACTATTCTTGGCTTCTTACCTCCAACTTTAGAATTGTAGGCTACTCCAACTCCACATTTTCTATTGTTGGCTTGCATGGCAATTTCTCCTGCACACCGTGTTCCATGCCTGGATAAATATAGCAAGAATAAATGACTTCTCATAACCTAGACGTTTCCATGTAACACATACAAAAACTCATCAGTGACTTTCTTGATGTGGTGGATGTCTTGAACTGAATGTAATGCAGCTATTGAACAGCTTTGGTATTATATTCACATTATACAAAAATATTTGTTTTGCCTTAGACTTCAGTCTCTATAATTTTACGTATTTAATTGTCAAATAATCATCATGACGAGATGATAAATAACTAATCTAATCTCACTAACCTATTAGTTACACTTGTTTTAGCAGAGCACAAGAGCAGTGTAAAATTATGTGGCAAGGTCGTTAATTTTTTTCAGAACAAAACATGAAAGAGACTTCTTCAACCACATTTTTAGATATTCTCTTTATTTTTTCTAAGGGCTGTCTTTATTTCCTTATTTAGAAATTTATTAAGAAAGCCTGTGAAGTATCTTCACCATTGCTGAATTTTTCTTGTAACTATGTACATACTATGCAATTTTTTTTATTATTTTTTTTTTGCTACAGGCAATTCTGTACTCTTTGATACAGAAAATCTTCAGGTAAAGATAATTGTACAAGAGTTTTATTACTTAATACTACAGATTGTTATTCAATGAGCTGTTTAAATGCTTCTGGGATGAATTCCATTTATTATTAACAAAGATTAGTGATAATACAGGTAGGTCTAAGAGATAATATCATCAGAGCAAGAGGATAATGTACTCTTGCTCTTAAATAATGTTGTAGTAAAGTAGAAATGTCATTTTTCAAAAGACTTGTTCATTAGACATTTATCCATTGATTGTTTTTTTCCCCACACCATGATTGATATTGTTGTGGATGCTATCATACTCTTTGACAGACAATAAAGAATCAGTGCTTTGGTTTCTTACTGCATCTTCATTGAACAGTGGCATCCCAATTGGTTTAATAAATTGACTTATTCTTTGCACCAGCTTTTAAACAGTTCCACTCTTTTCTCCTTCTGAAGGACAAAACCCTCACAGAACTACTATGAATACTCCCACAGTAACAGATTCACTGTGATGTCTCACTGAGTACCAGAGTGGTAGATCAAGAGAATTCCCCACTCCTTCCAAGACACACAAGTCCACAAAATGAACTGGCTGGTGCCTGTGTTCAAACTTTCTGAAACTTCCTAAGTTATCACCTTGAAGACGCTCAGGCCAAAACTGCTCTACAATGCTTCCACACACACTTTTTACCTGAAAGATTTTCCAGGAAGTGAATGTAACCTTCTTCACAGTCACAGCCATAGAAGAGGATGAAGTCAGAAGCATGGCTGCACCTGTGCCCATTTGCACTGAGCTAGAACACATGCTATTAGCCCAGAAGGTACTGACAAAATCACAAAGCTAAGCTACAAGAAATGACGAGGTGGGATGAGATTTTTTGGGCAGGTTTCTAGATTCCTCTAAGAAACAGTATCTTACAGAGTCCTTCACAAGAGATGTATTTTAAGTTTCCCAGTGCAAAGCAGGGAAAGTCAAAGTCTGCTCAAGCAGATATTATTCTACAAACAGACAAGGGGATCTGAACAGATTTTTCTGTTCAACTTACAGAAATATATCAGACTTTACACATACTATGATATGGAGAAGTTCATTACGTGAAAATTTAATTTCTTTAATTTCCAGTGTCTGTGAAAACATTTGTATGAATGAAAATACTGGCGGCTCTGTCTGAGCATTAGGAAACATTTTTTAATGTGAGTGCTTCCTGAACACTGGCACAAACTGATGAAAGAGGTTGCAGAGTGTCCATCCTCGGAGCACTCAAAAAGCTTCTGGACAAAGTTCTGGGCAACCATCCCAAAGGGCACCTGAAAGAGCAGAGCTTGTACTAGACTAGTCCAGAGAATCCTTCCAACCTCAACCATTCTCTGATTCTGTTGCACAAATTTTCCGTTCATATATAATTCATCAGAGGGACCTCGACAGGCTGGAAAGCTGGGCTCGGGTGAACCTAATGAGGTTCAAGACAGCAAAGTGCAAGGTTTTGCATTTGGGCCGGAGGAACCCCCGGCACCTGTACAGGCTGGGAGGAGCGGTCCTTGAGAGCAGCTCGGCAGAGAAGGACCTGGGGGTCCTGATGGACGAGAGACTGAACATGAGCCAGCAGTGCGCTCTGGCAGCTCGAAAGGCAAATGGGATCCTGGGCTCCATCAGGAGAGGGGTGGCCAGCAGGGACAGGGAGGTGATTGTCCCTCTCTACTTGGCTCTTGTGAGGCCCCATCTGGAGTACTGTGTCCAGGTGTGGAGCCCTCAGTACAAGAAAGACGTAGAGATTTTGGAAAGGGTCCAGAGGAGGGCGACTAAGATGATCAGGGGGCTGGAGCACCTCCCCTATGAGGACAGGCTGAGGGAGCTGAGCTTGTTCAGCCTGGAGAAGAGAAGGCTGCGGGGTGACCTCATTGCAGCCTATCAATACCTGAAGGGAACCTACACCCAGGAGGGGAGTAAACTCTTCAAAAGGGCTGATAACAGCAGGACTAGGGGAAATGGATCCAAGTTGAAGGAGGGAAGATTTAGGTTGGATGTTAGGGGGAAATTCTTTACAAGGAGAGTGGTTAGGCCCTGGAACGGGCTGCCCAGGGAGGTTGTGGATGCCCCGTCCCTGGAGGTGTTTAAGGCCAGGTTGGACGGGGTCCTGGGCAACCTGATCTAAATGTGTATGTTTGGTGGCCCTGCCAGGCAGGGGGGTTGGAACTACATGATCCTTGAGGTCCCTTCCAAACTGGGTGATTCTGTGATTCTGTGATTCTGTAATTGCAATAGAGGCCATAGATACTTCCACACTTGCATGTTGTAACACACAAAGTACTGCACTGTATGGTTCTCTTCACACGACTGGGAGGTTACTCACTTGTTTTCGTTTGTTGGGTCATATCTAGGAAATGGATCGTGGTCATTGTCATTGAAATCATAACTTGCCTTCGGATCCTGCATTTAAAATAACAGAATTAATTGGGACAACTAGGAAATAGATATTTAAATGCATTACAAAATGGGTTCTAGAGCCTGTATTTATTCATTTGGTGTGCTTCATACTGCAGCAATCAAGTGCATAGAATTTGATGAACATTAACAATTCCATAAATTTTTCATGGAGCTTTAATAATTCAGCATTAAACCACTGTATACAAACATGTACACAACTAAATCCACTGAGAGAAAAAGAAGTTACCTTTGCTAAATAACACTGAACTTCCTGTGACACAGATCAGGTTCCAAATAATACCTGAGACAAACATTTCATTCTCTGTAATATAGGAGCTACCTTACAGAACAGAGAGCAAGACAGAGACAGCAAGAGCATCTGCATATCAAATTTACAAATAGTTAACCTATTCAACAGCAATCTAATACCCAAACTTACATAGTTAGAGTAGATGTCAGTGTGATTCCATTCCAATCCATCATCTAATACTGTGATGACAACACCCTTGCCTGTAATCCCTTTTTGCCACACAGGAATAACGTGGAGATCCAGTTTGGGAAGAGATGGAGTTATTCTTGTATCTTGCTGAGGAACAGAATGGATTACAAATGCATTAATATTTCCATCCACTCACAACACACAGATTCAAAGACATATTCTAAAGGTTCTTTAAACCATTCCAGGCTGAATTTGTGTATCTTGTTCAAACTTCAAAGAAATAAAACAAAAACCTGTAGTATGTTCAAATACCTGTAGTATCAAAAGACAGCACCCCGGTCACCTAAGCTTCCACCTCTGAATAAAAAGCACCTTGTATTTATTAGAGGACACAACAGAAAGATGGGGATAGTAGAGACATAGCCATGATCCTTGGAAAGCTGAGTTAATAATCAGACCTACTAACTGTTCTTTTATCCTGATGAGAAGACAGTAAGTAGCCCACAGCACAGTAAGCTGTATTTTCTCCAAACGTGTTTTCTCCTGTGATGTTCAAGTTAGCCAGAGCAGAATAATTAATGGCTAAAACAATTAAGGCAGCCGTTTGGCTAGGAACAACTGTGCTGAATCACAACTTTCTGTTTACCACCCTCATTACTGTTCCTGTGGTAAATCAGCTGAAAGCGTGAATCATCTAGAGCTTTCCTTCCCACAGCAAGTGGAAGTGCTCTCAGAAGAGCATTTCCTAAGCAGGTCATTTTTCCTCTCTAATATTAAATGTGCAGTACATACATTGAATTTTGAAGCTTTACTTATTACACTATAAAAACAGAGACATAAAACCCAGCACTTTGTTTTTTCCTGTGCATATTAACTTAGTTGATCACAGGTTTTTAATTTCTTTGTTTCCAAGAGAATATTGGAAACATATTTGAGGCTCAGAGAAAGAAATACGTTATGGCAATTCTTTCAATTTATACTTTATTTTCTGACTGCTGCTATGGGGGAATTTTTGAAGTTTCAGGTTTTGTTCTCTAGAATCCACAAAAAATCATTTTTTCCTGGTGTTGGTTGAAGGCACATAGAAGTTAGAAACTGTTGTCATCAATCAGATAATAAGAAATTTACCACAAGGCAACAATAGATTTTGGAAGGAAATATTTGATGCATTTATGCATTTAGTTAGAAAAAATCAGTGTGTACTGCAAACAAGAGTAAGCATCATGCTTTCTGTTTCTCATATGGGTAAACCGGAGTGAAAAAAGGAGTGAAAATAACAGGAAGGTGGGTGAAATAAGAGTGAAACTCTTAGAGAGCGGGATTTTGCTTCTTTCGAAAAAAAAAAAAAGAAAAAAGAAAACAGAAAAAGAGTTTTTGAACTCCTGTGCTTGTGCTTTTGTCCATTAGTCCATTACAGACATCTTGGATATCTCCTGCTTCCTATTAAAAGCAGGCAAACAAGCAAGCACATTCTCATCTTCAAAGAGAAGTAAAATTCTTAACCATTTTCCACGTTGAAAAGAAATCTGCAGTAATCTTCAAGGAAATATGTTGTGCTATGTGTTTTGAAGAAAATAAAGTACTTCTAGTCACTTGGGTTGTGTTTGCACTTTGAACATCTTTCTTGCTATACACCTTTTAACCTATCCCCATCCAGAGTGCAAGAACTGACATCTAGACTGAAAGTACAGTGAGATGCCTTGTGGAAATACAGACTCTCAAAAGAAATTGTACAAAATATAAGTGATTAACTGTATTTCTGACTTGTCATATTCAATCTAGAGAGGTCAGGAGATTTCTTTTTCTTGAGGGTTTGAACATGTGAGCTACAAAGAATCTTTTCTACTTACAATCTTGACCAAGAGGTTCAAGGTGCCTGTTATATGTGCACGCATGCCTTTGTTTTCTGCTGGAGTATGCTCTCCACACTATCAATTTTAGTGAAGGAATATGCACCCAGCTTCAGACGTGATAAAGGAATTCTTACATGCTGACAACAAACATTTTTAAGCTAAAGGTAGATTTTAGCTAATGTATCGTGTTCTACTATCAAGCCCTTACTCTGTTACTAGTAAAATAGTACAGATGATAGCACAACCGAAATCCATTGCCCCCAGTTCCACAATAAGGCAAATTCTTACCAGATACCACTGCTTATTCCACATAGGATCGTTGAAGAGATTCTCTGCCGAGTCTGTCACAGCAGCACGCTTAGTTCGCTTTTTTTCATACTGCTGCTCTGCCCATGACACCTGCAGTTATTTACATAGATGCGAGAAGTAAGCCATATACACAGGGACTTTCTTAGCCTAAAGGGTAAGGGTTTTTCTCACACAGAAAAATACTGATGCCTAATGCAAAAAAAAAAAAAAAAAAAAAAAAAGCAATGTCTGATGCAGAGAGGAAGATTATTTATTTTGTAGTACAGTGCACTTTAGAAAAGGGGATATGGTGAAATCACAATGCAGTGCAATTAAAATCATTAAGTTAGCAGTTGAGTCCCAGTGAATGCCAAGCAAAGCTGGCTTTTATATCAAATGTGCTGTATGGTGAGAAGGTTATTTAAGAAGCAAATGTACAGCCTGCTTCTTTATCCTACCTTCATTTTAATGCCTATCGACTACAAGTGGGAATTCAAAGAAAAGATGAAAGATTATCTCAGGTTTTAGTCTAACAGTCATATCTACAATGTTATCCACAGCCCAGCTGGACCTTCAACTCTCCTTCCCATTTGTGTTTTGTATGATCAGTTATTAAGCTATGAATATGGGTCTAATTTCATCATGTAATTCCACTTAAGGCAACTGAGCCAAAACGTTTCAGTGTGTTTTGTTAATGCATCCTTACACCAAATTGCGTAGCATTTGCACATGAACACAGCATTCTCTAAGTCACAGAGCTACATTTTAAAAATGTTTCTCACTCTTGTTCCTTTCAACACATTACTAAATCCAGTTCAAAAAATTCTGATACCCATGGTAATAAACGTTACCCACTGCTGGCATGTGGACAGTCACTCTGACACAGACCCAGGTGATGTTTTCCCAATTTCCTAACAAGCAAAGCAAGCTCGTGTTCAGGAGACTGGCAAAGTCCTGCTGTGAGCCTCAGATGGAGACTGCCTTGATTCTAAACCTTTTGCTTTAAACACCGGAATAGATTTCAGCATTTTTGTCTGCTGCCATGCCATAACTTTATGCTCCCGACGTCTATCACCGAATATAACATGAGTGAGTTGGAAACTATTGTAATAAAGATGTACTGATTTGATTTAAATACTTTTTTTTTTTTTTTTTTTTTTAAGGAGAACTTAATGAGAATTCACCACAAGAACATAAACTGTTAAAAAAGAGAAGCTACACCAGGCACGTATACTGAAAGCTAATGACATTCCCTTTGCAATATATTTAGAGCAAAAACCCCTAAAAAGCACCATTAGTCACAGAAGACGAATATGCTAGTGCAGGTGTAAGCATTCTAAATTGCATTACTAATACACAAGGCTGTGTGTACTTGTGCCCAGGTTACAACAATTACCTTTATCCCTCCTCCATGCCCACAGCAAAGCTTGGTCTCTTCATCAGCGAACAGTAATTAAGAATTGACAGCTTCCATGCTCACCATTTTCTGATGCGGACAGCTGCTCTGAGAGAAATGAGCTGGAACTACCGAGCACATATGTCTGACAAACAAGCCAAACGTTTGTCACTCAGCAGCTGAGCCAGGTACAGGCTACCCATCCACTGCAAGAGCAGACGGCCCTCTGCCAGATCTCCACTCACTGGTACATAAAGCAGTGAAAATGATTGGGATTCAGGTCCCTACTGCAAGAAGTGAGGAAACCACATAACTGTATCCTTTTGAAACATTCATTGCCATCGCCTGTTTTACTGTAACACTGGGATGCCCATAGCAGATATAAATGTTCAGGTTAGAGGCAAGCTTTGCCCCCCAGCTGTCACTCTTAACGAGCCGTAAGAATCACAAAGGCTCTACACAAAGAAAAGCAGGACTGTCTTCTTTCCCCCTCCCTTTTTTAAGAATGAATTTTAATCTTTTTAGTGGGCTGTTGCTCTTCGGAGGAAAGGTTCGTGTATAACTACACAGCACTGCATGATTATTTTGTGTTTGTATATTTACATAATGACATAATTACACCTAATTCATTCACATCGTTAATTTGCATATTAGATGGTAAATAAAAGGGAAATTGGAATAAATTTAACAAATCATCTGCAGTACTGCAAAGCCACTTTTGAAGTCTAAGTATGTAAGTATAAATCCCCCCAAAAAGACAGAACATCTCAACTTGAAAGGGACCCACAGGGATCATCCAGTCCAACCCCTGGCTCCACACAGCACATCCAAAAATTAAATACTGTGTCTGAGAGAGCATTAATCAAAATGCTTCCCAAACTGCAGCAGCTTGAGGCAGTTGGTAAGAATTAGAAGACACAAACTTTATTGATGATTACTTATACTGGAATATGGCTTTGAACATGCCCATTTTAGAACGATTTCACCTCAAAGATTGTAACTGTTACAACAGTGTTTGAAAGGAGGTAGATGGGAATGGGCAGCTTGAACCAGAACATGCAAAATAAATACACAGCCTTTACCCCTCCCTTAATTCTTCATAAAATCTTTTCTCCCAGGTGACATTTGCATCCAAAAACTTCACACAGATAACCAATTATTTGCCATCAAGTGATTTGTCCTTACATGACTCAAAGTGCTCACAATGGAGATACTTGACATTTTGGACCACTGCTGCAATAACGCTGATCTGAAATTCAAATGTCAGTGTTCTGATATGTGTCTGATATTGTTTGACAGCATCTTGCTCTGTTCCTTAAATTTGCCACCCACTGCATTTTCTCACCACGTTTACAAGCAAGGAAACTTCACTCTTAAGCAGAGGCAGAGAAATGGGGAGTCTGCTCCATGGGTCATGCCTTAGGTACACAACTCCTTTTTTTTCCCCCCAGTGTTCAATCACATTAAATCAAACCTGATTTCCATAGCTATTGGATTGCATCATTGTTTTTTTTACCTTAAACTCTGTGGTTCCTCATTTATATTTTCATCAGCTACAGATCTGAAATTCCAAACCTCTGCAGTGCTTCATATCTGAAATCTGCAACTGGAAAGCACTTGCAAAAAACGTGTTGAGAGGATCAGACTCTGCCTATTAATGACAGAATAATTAAGTACTATTCAACACAAGCCAAATGCTGAATGCAACAGACTTGCAAAGCGAAGAAGGTCTGCCAGTGACCTCATCAGGCAGTAGTATTACACTGCCAGAACGGACAGAGGAGAAGAAGGGATACAATACTCACCCGCTCATCATCAGAAAGCCTCTTGGTGATGTGAATGGCACTTCTCCGGGACCGTCGTGGATGGCTCTTATGTCTGAACAGATAGTGATTTTTGAGCGACCCAATCTGCAAGACAGAGGCGCACCTTCACTCTGGAAAGGTGTTTCCTTACAGACAACACATACCAGTACTCACAACCAACTCTGTGCCTGAAAGGGCAAGGAATCAGCCTTCTGCTGTGTTAATCTGAAGTAAAACCTTACTGAAGTACTTTGTGCTTATCACAGCCTTATCACAGAAGGTATGGAGGAATAGTTTTATTTACAGTAACGAAGTTGCACTCATTAGTAACAGAGCAGTCAGCACGGCAGTGCTGCTCCTGCAGTAATGACCAGCACCACCACAGACAGACTGAATGACTGGTAAGACAGACCGACAGACTGACTGACTGACTGACTGACACATTGACAGACCAACCGACAGGCGGACCGACGGACCGATCGACCGACCGGCTGACGGACCGACTGGTATAGTCGCACTCCCACAGGAGCACAGTTCCACCCGCGGCACTTCGCAGGGTCGCCCCTGCCCGCGGCTCAAGTGCGAGAGCTCCTTGCGGCTCCAGTACCCGCGCCGCTCCGGCGCTAGCCGAAGGGGCGCTCTCGGAGCGAGCTGTCCCGGACCCCGGCCGGAGGAGGGACAGAGCCGTCAGCGGTTACTCATCCCTGACAACGCTGACGTCACGGCATCCCGAAAAAGCGCCGGGAGGGCCTGCGGGTGAGCGGCCCCGCGACGGCGCTCCGGGGCGGGGAGTCGGGGGCCCGGGCCCCGTCCCGCCCGAAGCAACCCCCCCCCCACCCCCCGAGCTGCTTACGGGGACTGCACCCGCAACGTCCCCGAGCTTTGCGGGCACCGGCCGGAGGGCAAAACCCCGGGGGTCCCCGACCCGCCTCCCGCCCCTACCTGCCCCACGAGGTCGTAGTCCAGCTCCTCGGCGATGGCTCGGGCGGCGTCGGGGCCCGCCGGGACCTCGGCCGCCCACTCGTTGAGAAACTGCCGCTCGGCGCGACCGCCGCGGGCCAGGCAGCAGGCGGCCAGCAGCGCCAGGGCCGCGCAGCGACCGGCTCGGCAGGGCCCGTCCATGGCTATGGGGCGGCGGGACGGCGTTGCTAGGCGAGCCCTGCCCGGCTCGGCTCGGCTTGGCTCGGCTCGGCGCGGCGCGGCACAGCTCAGCGCGGCGCGGCTCGGCGCGGCTGCCCGGGGCTGCGCGGCTCCCAGACCCTCCGGTGCCGGAATGGAAATGAGTGTTTACACGTCAAAACGACGACAGCCATCCTGACGTCAAGTGTACCTGGCCCCCGAGTGGGGTGGTGATTCCCCACGGGGCGGGCGCTCGGACGGGCGGCGGGGGCGACGCCCCGGGGCCGCGGGGGGGGGGGGGGGGGCGCCCGCGCCGGGGGGGGGCGCCCCCCCCGCGGGGGGGGGGGGGGGGGGGGGGGGCGGGAGTAGCCGCGCTCGAATCTCCTCACGATCCGAGAGAATGGAACGTGTGTTTGAATGGAGCTCCCGACCCGGGACTGCCGGACCGAGCCATGGGCGTCCCTGCCTCCGGCTCCCATAGGGATGCGGCTCGAATTGGCGCTTGCTGCCCAGCCTGGCGGGATGACAAATGTCTTCCCCCTGAAATGGGACTGCTCTCTGAATTTAACTGTTGTTCAACTTTTAAATTGGACGTTTGAATGTCAGAGCTTTAACGCTGCTTACGGTAGAGTAGCAGGTACACCTACCCAGCTCCTCGTTGGCTTTTAGAATAGGAAGAGCGTGGAAAACATAAATGCGAAGCGAAGACAAGTGAAAACAAGGCACTTTTAACAGGCTGGCGTTCCAGCAAGTGGGATGGGCACGGACTGATAGCTTCGGGAGGGTCCTCCCTGTGCTCCCGCTGCGAGCGCTGCGGGTGGAGCATGGGCAGGGCACCCATGGAGCAGAACTGAGTGGGAGACCGAGAAGGGCTCGAGGGAAGCGTGTGTCCAAAGCACCAACATCGCTGAATGTCAGTACACAATGTCCATAAAATTACGCTACACCATCCTGACATTCAGCAGCACTCGCTTTCTGCAGCATTCTAAGGGCAGCCCGGGGTTTGTCAAAGTCAGGCTAGGGACTGGATGTGTTTTCTGTTCAATTCCATTTATTGTATTCACCACAAGATTTTCTCAGTGCTTACTGCCAAAAAATGTATTTTCGTTACCTTTCTGGACAGATGCCATATAAATCCCTCAGCTCCACTTCTAGCTGTGTTCCTGAGGCTGCCTTTAAGTGTGCTCTTCCTGTCAAACTGTCTCTGGATCCATGCAGGCTTTTTTCCTGTGTCAATTCTGTCAGTACTGTTCTACTCAGAACACAAAGGAATTTTCACCTCTCAGTTCTCATCACTGTTATTGCACTTTGGCTTCAATTATATATTTGATACTCTGCACCTACGTAGAAACATCTGTATACAGAAATGAAATGAAAGCCATTTATCAGGATAGTGATGATTTATATTCACAAGACTCCCTAGGACTGCCTTGAAAATCTGCTTTTTCTTTTCCAAATTCTTCATTCATTTCACTGTGCTTTATTCACGGGGAAAATCATTTTGTTCAGGCCTGGAGTTAGGTGTGCACAGATGTCTGAGCTCTGGAGAAAACAAGCCACATGCTCTGCAGACTTGGCTGTCCTATCCATTAATGAGCGCTGCTGTCCAACCCTCTCTGCTCCCATCTAATAATAGCACAATGAAAGGAACAGCTTGCTCAGCAGCCTCAGGTGGAGCCAACAGTAATTGTTCCATGCTCCACGAGCACTTCAGGTTTGTTGTTTACCTCTGGAAGATACACGTAACTCCTAGTCCACCCCATATTCCAGTGAGCGCAAAATCAGACATAAGAACAATTATAAAAAGATTATTTCTACAGTATCGCCTACATTTAACTTGGTTTTCCAGACAGAGTTACTTCTAAGTGAGTTGGCTTCTGGTAAGGATTTTTTTTCTTCTTGTGGAGAAATGTTAGCAAAGAAATGCTTGGTTTTATTATCAATGTGATCACTGAGTGGGAATCACTTGTTGATATTCAGGATTCTTCCCATGCAGGGCACCCCCCACCTCGAGGGTATTTGGAAGAGCTTCTGTTCATGTTTGGCTCTTTTGTATTTAGAGAAAGACGATAATGGACATCTCTTCATACATCCTGGAACCCCATTAAGCTACTATAGGAGACAGTCACTATACAGATACTATTTCTTGGAGCTTAATTGGTTTTGTGTGAATGTTTGGGGATTTTTTTTCTTTCCTCCTCCTTCTCAAGAGGCTTCTACGATTTCAAGCTCTAGCTGTATGTTCACACTCTGATTTCTGATCCTTCAAAAAATGTCCATGAGAGAGGGAGACAGACCAGCTTTGAGAAGCCAAGTGCATACACACAAAGTTCTATTCTCTGCTTTTTAGTAGGGCTAAAATACTTACACATGATAGCTCATGTTCGAGCCCCAAGGCTGGCACTGAGGAACATGGTTGGTGGACCATGGTGAGGATAGGCTGACGGTTGGACTAGATGATCTTAGTGTTTTTTTCCAAACTTGATGATTCTATGAATCTGTTACTATTTTTGAGCTTGACTTGCTGCTTAGCTGCATCATTCAAGACACCTGGTTCTGTTTGCTGCAGCATGTGCTGGTGAGTAGACTCTGCTGGATGCCTGGCAAGCAGGAGCCAGGAAAGGAGCCGTGGCTGGGGTTTGCTCTCTGCTCTAGTTGGTGCTGATTGTTTTACCAAATTCCCACCGGTAACAAATCCATCCTGCCACATTTCTGCTTGGGATCAGTCAGAGCAATGCAGATACTGTTCTGCCAGATGAGGAAAGGCTGGAAAGTTCAGAAGCTTCATCACCTCTGAATGGCAGCTGGTATCCAAATAAAAATATTGATTATAAGGTAGGAAGCACAAGCACAAAACCCTGAGACTTGTGAAGTGAGAAAGCTGTTGCTCAAATGAAACTTAAAAGAGAAACTTGTATTCCTTTATTTTTGTGCACCTTGTAGAAGAGGATCAATTGTCTTAGACAAACAGAGAAAAAGCAAATGTAAAAAGGAACAGATCAGGTTGGAAACTCCATCATTTTATCATTTTCATATTTGAAAGATTTTTTTTTTCTTTTTTTATGAAGAATGGAGTTGTGTAATTACATTTGCCAGAGAACAAATTCATCTCTGATGTCACTTCCTAAAGCTGGCCTTCTGATTTTTCAGAATGAAACTAAGCACTAGGACCAGCTGGGAGCCACCCAGCTGGAATGCAGCCTGGAAGAAACTGACCAGGGCATCCTGGTGAACACCAAGCTGAGTATGAGCCAGAAATGTGTCCTTCCAGCAGAGAAGGTTGATGATGTCCTGGGCTGCAGTAGGCAAAGTATTGCCAGCAGGTCAAGGAAAGTAATTCTCTGCTCAGTTTGGTAAGTACAGTGCTGTCACTTGGAATACTGTGTTTTATTTGGGTTCCCAAGTAGAAGACAGACATGGACATACTGGACAGAGTCCAGTGTAGGACCACCAAGATGACAAAGGGAATGGAACATGTCTCCTGTGACAAAGGTTTGAGAGAGCTATGATGTTCTGCCTGAGGGGAGGGTGCACAGAGGACAGAGCCAAGCTCTTATCAGTAGTGTCCTGTGCCAGGACCAGAAGCAATGGGTGCAAAAGGAAACACAGGAGGCTCCCCCTGACCATCAGGCAGCACTTCTGTGCTGTGCAGGTGACGGAGGCACTGGGCATCCTGCTCTGGGTGTCCCTGCTGGAACTGGGGTTGAGCCTGATGGACACAGAGATCCTGCCACCCTCAACCTGTCTGGGATTCTGTGATTTTTTGTTTACCTGTAGAGCTTTCTTTCAGTAAGCATAACTAGGCTAAAATATTGGAAGTTCTTCGTGAGTAAACAAAAGTCATCAATATAGTAACACTTGAAAACAGAAGGAATACATTCTGGAGGCGTTACTGCTTCTCTGCATTCTGCTGCTACATTAACAATGAAAGATGAGACCAGAGCTCCATGCTCAGGAATGCTCCATGACTGACAGCTGGAATAGAGGCCTGCACATTGCAAGCTCTGTGCTGAAAGAAATTGGGGTGAAGTGCAGGGACACTTGCTTTCAGGGAAGAGCTCAGTGCACAAGGATCAACAATCAACTCAACCTGAGTTTGTTTTGAATACTCTGTGCATTACAGGCTTCCATTGTGTATGAGTGCCTTTGTAGGCTTCCCCTGGACAGCACCAGATCTGCAGCATACCTCTGACTTTCACCCTGACCAGCTGGCAGAAGCAACTCCTCTTTTGTCCTTCCTCCTTCTGTCACTCATGCAGGTGTATTCATCGAGAACAACCCACTGTAAAACGTGTGTGTCATAGAAAGCAGCCACTGACATTTCTACCTGCATCTCATAAAATCATGCCTGCTGGTAACACTGCAATACCATCAATCTTAGCAGCTATCAGGAGCTCACTGGTTCTGCAAGATGAAACTTGAGACTGCACAGCGTAAAAGCAATCTACTAGAAGATGTCAATGTTATTTTACTGGTTCTGTGTGAAAGCTCCAACTTGGCTGGGTTGACAACATCTAAGTGGCATTTTGCGTTGCATTTGGTTTTAACATACTAAGTCACACACAGTACCACACTTTAAAATGAGAATTGCTGGAAGCACGGTTTGATGGCTAAAGTAGCTGCTGTGGTTTAATATTTTAAATGCTGAAGAGGGCTGCACCATATTTAATTTGGCTGTAGACCAAAGAAGACTCTTGAAACCCACTCTTTTTTGGTAACGCTATTTCTTTTTCAGCAGAAGCCAGTGCTCCAAAGTCACTCAAGTACGATATAAAAGCCCCATGTGTAGGCAATCACAAAGAATATGGGAAACACCTGTTTTTCCTTCAATTACTGCCTGCAAACTAGTGGGGCATGTTTATTTTGGGGGCATTACATTTGCTTGGGTAATAGTGCATGACACATTTTCAGTGTTACTGCAGACGAGCTCTGAGAACAGCTAATCTTATCTGTTCAAATGAAACGCAAACATGCCCTCCCAGCCATACGTGCAGCTAAACGGG